TGTTTTGATGTATATATTTTATTTCATAATTTCGAAAAATAAAGTTCAAAACTATTACATACAAAACAGACTTTAATATATAGAAAAAAAAACTACATGAAATGTAATTTCTAACACAAAATTTTGACGGAATCTTCAAGAGCGTGGTAAAGCATACTTTGTAACAAAATCGGTTGCTTTTCGATTGAATTCATCTCGATTGGACATATATTCACGACCAAGTTCTATGAAAGTAAACTAAATAAATAATTGAAAGATAAAATAAGATACATACCAAGACTAAGTGCATAATCAATATTAGGTTCATCGACATGTGTCGTGACAGCTTTAACAACATCAACTAAAGAAATTTTTGCTGACCATTTGCCTTTTTTATTCAACAGTTCATGGCAAAGTTTGCCTAAAAATTTTATGTAATTTAATATTTCAATTTTTTTGTGAAATATTTATTACCATCTTGTCCAACATTTGGATGATAAATTTTAGTAAGAAAACGTACTTCAGGCGGATCGAATGGAAACGTTGGTGTTAGTTTCATTTCAATGTTATATGAACCATTTTTATATATATCTGAATTTGGAAATATACGGCCAGTGACGATGATGTCTTTTGAAGTAGCAGAAGCTTCGTCTTCGTCGTCAGAATTAAATGGTTGTGATTCAAGTATGAATTTGGGCTCAGTTGTTGTATTTAATTTTTTTAACTTAGTAATATCGGTCCATAAATCTTTGTCTAATTTGCCGCCAGCATTAGTCATCTTTTATCTAAAAAATAAGCTTTTTGTGTAAAACAATTTACGAGCGCTTCTGTATGTACGAAATACACGAAAAAAAAATATCACGTACTATGTTAATCTATAAGCTTGAAAGTAACGAAAGGAAGAAGAACGTGAAAAAGAAACCCAGGCAATGTTTGCACCCAGGTTATTTTTACTCTGTATACAAAAGAAAAAAACATTCTTTATCTTGTTATTAGAATGCAAACTCTGTTGATTTTAATTTTTCAAATAAAAAATATCTAATGATGTTATATTCATGTAAAAAATAAAGAAATTTTCTAACTAAATATGAAAAAAATTCTATTCTACAGTATATGTAACTTACCATAAAATTTTTCTTTTCTTCACTTAAAAATAAAACAGAATGCAGACAGTCAACGTGCGTCGCTAGTTTATATGTTGACATATTTTACATTGGAATATTCCAATGCAAAAACATTCTTTCCTTTCCAGGTATAAAAAACAACATTACTGAAGTGTTTTATTTTTCAGTGAATATATATCAGTAAAAAGCAAAAGTCAGAAAAGAATATAATCATTTCGAATAAAAAACTATGAATATTCATTAACAAGTTATTCTATTATGTGTAAGATCATAATCGATGTCTCACTTTGTTAGATCTATTCTTCTTGGTTAAAATAATTTATTTTGAAAGTAATAAATCTAACCAATAACTTTAATTAAACACACCCTCATAACGTAAACATGATCTCTATATATATATATATGATAGACTATCTGGATATTTCCACAGATTACACTTGGAAAAGAACGAAAGAACGAAAGAACGAAAGAAAGATGTTTTTTTGCAGTTTTTTTATTTATAAATCAAATACATTAGAAGAAGTGAGTAAATAAACAGACATTATTGTTTATAAAACGAATAAAATGAATTCTAAAAATAGAATTTATGAAAAGATTCTACATTCAGATTAAACTATAATTTTAACACACTAAATGTTTTATATACAAATAGATGATTTTATTGTAAATGTCACATTTTACACATGAAATTCTACGAATTAACTTTTCCAATTAGAGTAAAAATAATTAGTACGACACTTAAAGCTATATAGATAATAGGATAAACTGATATTGGTTTTCTTTCTCAGTATTGAATGTGGACAAGTGCATCAAATTGTATATAGTATTGATTGTATTTTACTAAGATAATGATTTCTTCGAACTGAAAATTTTAAAATGGATTTGTCCCGGTCAGAATTAAGAAATTGGTAGTATTCTAGAAGATTTGAAAGATAACAATTAATTTAAAGGAAATCATGTTATATAATGCTACATATATAGTAAAATCATCTTAATATAAGAACAATAAAATATTTAAAGTATGTATATTGAATTCAATAAGATCATTAATCTCGAGATATCATATTCCTTCGTACCATTTCGGATGCTTTACGATCGAATTCTGCTCTATTCTCTATAAATTCTTTTCCAATATCTATAAAACAACAAAATTAATCGAGAAAATTGAAATAGAAAGTTTTTACCAAAATTTATCGAATAATCAGGATCAGGTTCGTCAATATGTTTTGCGATAGCTTTAATAACATCAGCTAAAGTTGCTGTTCGATTTTGTTTCCATCTCGAAGCATTACTCAACAATTGATGACAAAATGTACCTTCAATATATAAAAAACATTATGTCTACGCTCTATTTTGTTTCAAGTAATAATGATTTACCATCAGACTCTACATTTGGATGATAAACAGGAGTTAGAAATCGTACGACAGGTGCTTCAATTGGATATGCGGATGTTAGTTTCATTTCTATGCGAAGAGCAGTTTCTTTATAGATGTTTGAACTTGGAAAAATTTTCCCTTTAATAACATATTCATCTTTTTCTACAGCAACTTTTTCTTCGTCTTCATCATCAAATGGATTGGATTCAAGTATAAATCTATTAGTCGTATTAGGTTTTCCTAATAATTTGAGTCGAGTGATATTAGTCCAAAGTTCTTTGTTCAACTTCCCTGTAGTTGCCATATTAGTGATCTAAAGTATTATAGTATATAATAGAACTGAATGAATTATTTGTGATTTTTTAAAGAAAAATATTTAGAAAACGATACAAAAAAGCTTGGCAGTTAGTTATGATGTAGTTTTTAAAAACCAGCAAGTAAGATCTCTTCTTTTTAACATGTATCTCATGCATTACTGAAAGAAAAATTCAATTTAATGTATGATTTCCTGAGGAATTTGCTTTATATTTATATTTAGATAAGAAGAACATTTCTTCGAAAACAAAAATTTCGAAAGTGTAAGTTGGAATATCATTAACACCTCTTTTTCGATGAAAGCATAGGAAGAAAAACAAAACGTCTGATTGATTTTCCTTCTACAACTTGTACGGCTTTATATGAGAATAATATAATTAAATTTTCTTCTAAATAAGTTTAGTGATAATTGAAGGGAAACTTATGCTATCAATATCAAAATCAAACAATTAAACTAAATTTCCTTGAAATAAGTCAATAATAAATTTGTCCAATGAACAAGTATTTCTTGTCTCTCATATTGTGCATATTTAGTTGAAGAGGGCACTAGATGTCGTAAGATTCAATTCCTCAAAGGAAGTACTCATTACATATTTTTAAATGTAAGAAACTTTGCTTATCACTCACAGTATCAATTTGAATAATAATTCAGTACAGATTTTATTTATTCTTGCTATCTCTTCTTTTTTCTAGAAAATAAATAAATAGATTTCGGTACACACATACATTTATAATATTATTTTATTTAAGCTATGAAGTTGATACGATGAAGATACACTTATGAAAGAAAAATCTTATTTTGCATGTGAAAGTTTCAAATGTATGAATGTACATAATGCATTCAACCGTATCTATTACTAACACCTCCAACAGAGTAAAATATATGGTTTCTATCCACTTACTATTCTTTGTTCATGTTGAATGGATAGATGTAGATCATTCAATATCATGCAGTAAAAATTAATTTGTGTAACAATCTATATCTAATTGTTTTCAATCTCAAAGAAACTTCAATGTTCGTTGAACCTTTCGACATTATCATTTCGATACTACATCCTATACTACCGATCGATTGTCTTAATCAATATTTTTATAAGGGAAACATAATCTCTGCTCTATTTCTAACTACGAGAAGTAAATATTGACGTAAATGAATATATATGTGAATGAAAACGAAGGAAGTGGACATGACGCACGAAAATAAAAATAAATGATTAACATATTACATAAGGAAGCGATTAATATGTAGATGTAGAGTACATTCGTCAAGTTTTCTTCTCGTAAGAAATTAAAACAATTTTCGACAAACAAATTAATGATAATATTTCATTTTATTATTTGTATGCATCCTATCTTTAATACTATTTTGATCAATACTAATAATTTTGTATTAAATGTCACCGTCGAAATAAGATCATAAAGATGAGTAATATTCATCGTTTAAACTTTATTATTTCTATAAAAGATTCGTTTGGTAATTCTTTAGAAGATGATATAACGTATATAATACATATTGATTTTTTTGTTATTTTTAGAAGTATTGCGACTTTCGTTTCAGTGCGTTTAGAAGCTATTAATATTGCTAATGTATTTCAAGTAATAATTTAAAATCAATCAGGTATTCATATGAGTCAAAAGTATGTGATAACGAAATTAATTATAAATATGATTACTTCCTACAAAAACAAACTTGGAAAAAGTATATTTATGAGATATTGCGATGTACAACGAAAGTAATTGAATGACACCTTATCTAAAACCATACAGCGAATCTTTTCAGAAGGAAGTGCAAATGGAAATCATTCAATTTATTGACCATATATCAAAAGAGTTATTTATTCTAACACTCAGCAATATTGGATAATTCTAAATCAGACTGAATGAAAATCTTTTTTTTATTATTGATATTTATTTATTAACAAAATTTACTTTAAAAAAAATAATATTTACTTCAATGTATCTGCCAATTATAAATAAATTACTGATTAGTTTCTCGGTAATGCATGTTTTTTCACCATTTCCAAGGTTATACGATTAAACTCTTCTTTGTTCTGCATATATGCCTTACCGATTTCTATAAAATGAATAAAACTGATTAATAGATTTAAAATAAAATAAGCTTAGTTACCATATTTAACAGCATAGTCAGGATCAGGTTCGTCAATAAATTTTATAATAACTTTGATAACATCAACCAAAGTTGCTGCTCGATTTAGTTTCCATTTTGAGGAATTACTCAATAAATGATGACAAAATGTACCTGAACGAGAAGGAGATATTTTTTTTATCAGAATTTATTCAATATCTTACCATCTTTTGCAATATTTGGATGATAAATAGGAGTTACAAATCGTACTACAGGTGCTTCTAATGGATATGCTGATGTTAGTTTTATTTCTATCCGATAAGAACCTTCTTTATAAATATCTGAATTTGGAAAAATTCGTCCGCTAATAACATATTCATCTTTTTCTTCAGCAACTTGTTCGTCATCTTCATCATCAAATGGATTGTGTTCAAGTATAAATCTATAAGGATTACTAGGTTTCTCCAATAACTTGAGTCGAGTGATGTTATTCCAAAGAGCTTTGTTCAATCGTTGTATACTACCCATGGTAACACTATATAGTTAAACAATAGAACTAAATAAATGTTGTAATAAATGTATTATGTTCTGTAAAAGGGGCAACTGTTTATATATGAGTAAAAACGAATGAGTGGTTACAACTGGAATATTCTATTGCGTCGGCTTTTATTTCAGATATCGTAATATTTTGATAAAAGTTTCCAACTTACATTTCCTTTTTATGAAGAAACGAGTTGTCTTGGTTTTTTCCTAATACGAATTTTGTAACGCGCAATAATGCACATGACTCATGTTTTATTGCGAAGGGAGAAAGAAAAAAATAATAAAAGTTTTTGTTGGTAGAAACCTACTTCTGTTATTTTTACGAAGGGTGTGGATGTGGCTGTGTATGAGAGAAAATCACGTATTGTACCACTTCGTCATTCTGAAGTCCAGTAGCAGTAGTCAGTTACGATCTCCAGGTAAAAGAAAAAATGTTCGAAAGAATGGGTGTGGGTGAGGGTGTAGAAGAGAGCGAAACTACTGTGATCATTTCACCCACACCCTTTGAATTTCTGTTGCTTTTTCTTTAGCCATGTTCAGAAATAGTAGTACGAAACGTAGTTCATCCGTGCATGAGGGTTAGCGTGAATGAAATAGAATACCTACACCCTTCAAAATTGTTTATTTATTTTTGAATTAAATTGTAACTGTATTTTTTTCTACCGTTTGAAGCACACTTGCACTCTTTTTTTATTCTTTCTGAGTAGAATTAAGAAAAGAATCGCTTCTTGTGTTTTAATTGTAAGTTTAGGTGAACATGAATTCGATTTTATCGAGAAAATGCTGATCACGTAAAGGCAGCGGAAAATTGATTAAAGAGTAGAGAAACAAGAACACAGAACAAGCTTATATCAGTAGCTGCTGCTGAGAAAAGTTTCAGTCAATTATCGAGAATTAAAAGTTATTGTTGGTCAATAATGAAACAAAACGAGCTAAATGGACTTGATGCTGTTTACATTCATGAAGATCTCAATATAAATCCAGATGATGAGTTGAAATTGTATACACAAATAAATTCTCGTTGTTCTGATTTTGTTGTTTGCGTTTGAAACATAGATATTATAAACAGAGACACTAAAATAGATTGAAACCATCTTGAGGGTGGGTGGGTATGGATAGATATGATCGTAGGTATTATATTTATTTGTAAATAACACCCACACCAATGTTGTCGTAGGAAGCAGCCAAATGAGGATGATCGGGAGGAAGCGATTGCTGCTTAATTTCAAGGGCTTCTTTATAAGATGAAAGTGCTTTTGAATAATTGCCCATGTCGTCATGCATCAAACCAATGTCGTTGTAGGAACCAGCAAAATCAGAATGATTGGGAGGAAGTGACTGATGTTGAATTTCAAGGGTTTTTTCATAATAAGAAAGTGCTTTCGGATAATTACCTATATTGTAATGCACTAAAGCAATGTTATTGTAGGACATCGTCAAATTAGGATGATTGGGAGGAAAAATGTTTCGATAGCTAGCAAGTGATTTTTCATAGAATGTAAGTGCTTCTTGATATTCTCCTTGATCTTTCTTAATCGAGCCAAGTAGATGATAAATATGTGACTTATCTTCATCATCCTTTGTTTGATTAAGTAAAACTTGATAAATATCTTCAGCTTTGTCAAATTGACCCATTTTAATTAGTACCATACCTAATCTGTACCATACTTCACTGTCTGGAAAACTCTCGTGTCGAAGGTAATCAGTAAGTTTGCTTAATTCTGGATCGTTGTCAACAGTTAGTATCAAGTTAACTTCGTACAAACGATTATTTCCACCCATCTGTTTAATATCCTGGATACGAAAACGCTATTCATTGAAAATAAGACCTCCTCTTCTCCTTGGAACAGGCTAATTCCAGCAATTGAAGCAAAGGGTGCTGTGGATTGAGATGGATTTACTTTCATAACGAAAAGTATTCCAAATCAATCCGGACCAGCCTGATTACTTTCTGCGAAAGCATAGGAGAGATCACGATCATTACTGGTTGATAAGAAATTGTTGAAAGAAATAAAACCACCTTTATTTTGCATCATTTGTTCAAAATCTCCTGTAGATAAACCCTGACCACGGTAAAGGGTGAAGGTGTCAGTAGCGGTTGTACCAGCATATTGTTTTTGGTGTAGTTGTTCAATTTGTCGATGCAGGTCACCGATAAAGAAACCCAAACGTATGATGATATGACCATCCATCATTCGTAATGCACGATTGAGCATTGGATACTGAAACACTTGAGAGGTGTACCAGTAAATGGGTGTTGTCATGATATTTACGTTTCAATTGTTTAGTATTTTCGATTTCTTTTGTATTACCTTAATAAGCATTGCAACAATAATCGATGTAATCTTAGATATGGTTTTGTTTGAACTTGATGGTTAATAGAGTTTCTTTGATGATGTGGGTGTACATAAAAGACGGATCTGATTGATCCAACTTTTTTGTTTGTTTCCACGAAACTCATAGGAATAGCATTTGGCTCACATTGATGAGCTGCCGATTTGAGTACTTCACAGATGGGTGTGCTATCTGTGAAGACACCCTTTGTTTTGTGCCAATCTTTGACCCTTTGTTCATGATGGTTTCGGTTGGCACAAAATGTTGTCCAAGTAATCCAGATATAATCATACATGCCTTTTGGTCGATGACTGTTTCAATGAACTCAAAGCATTGATCGATATCTGTAAATGTATTGGTGTCGTTGACAGTCCGTCGCAATTGTATGATTGTATTTTGACAATCATCGTTTGTTTCGTCAATGTTACCATCTAACCAGATTAGAAGCACATTTTGCATCTTTTGAACTGCACCTTTTGGAACCGTAGCTCCATTTGTTATTGATTTTTCTTCATTCATTGTTTGCTATGTGGATATTTTGAATTGGGGTCACTGTGTAAAATTTTCTATTGAAGTAATGATGAAAAACGATTCTTTTTAAAGATGTCTAGTTCCTTGCGAAAAGTTGTTTTTTTCTTTAACTGTTTTTTTATGTTGTTATGGAAAACAAACATCGAAATAGGCTGCAAAAACGAATGATTTTATTTACTTTCATAGAGAAAAACATTGTTAAGTGGTGTTTGTTATTTGAGAATTGTAATTGGGCAAAAAGTTTTTTTTATATGATCAAATATTTGATGAATTATACAAGTTTGACTACATGCTTGTTGATCGCTAATTAGTAGACATGAAGTTTAAAAGATGTTTAAATTAGTTTTCGAGTGAAAGCCTACATGTGATCATGATGTACATGATAGAGATTGACGTTTTAAAAATTGCATTTGTCATTAACAAAGAAAAGAAAAAGAATTAATCATGCATGATTTCCATCTACCATCAATTATGGTTATTATAATATTATAATTCGCGATCTTTATATGATGCATGAGTATATGACTAGTTTTAAAATAGCACAGCAAAATTTAAATAAATTAGAAACTGCTGTCCAATGAAATAATTCCTTGTAAAAAACTACACGATCAAAGAAAATTTCAGTTTTAATATATGATATCCAATATAGAGCAAAAAAAGTGAAACTTCAGACATTTGAAATAGAATAAAAAAGAGTAGTTTATAATAACTTAAACAGATTTACTGACAAGAGAAATTACAATAAAAAAATAATTTTTTTCTGAATTGTACATTTCAGTTAGGTGTAAATTATATTGCTTGTCATTTTTGACAACGTTAACTTACACTAGGAATGATCTTATGATTCTTTGACTAGAAATGGTCGATGTATCCTCAGCGAAAATTCTCATGATAAAAATACAACAAACATCTATCTTTTATTCTTTTTATTCATGAATCACATAGCATGGCACATCTTCAAAGATCTTCCAAAGACATAAACACTGTTTTTGCTCATTAAAAAGTGAAAAGTGTATGTATGTTGCTTGCAAAACATAAAATTATCCCGCGAAAAAAAGATGAAACTTAATAGAAACATTGATTGATTGTGCACATGATTTTGATTGGCTTTGTCTGAAAGTAAAGTTCGCACAATGTAATTAGATATGAAAACGTATTTTATTTGTTCCATTTTGTTCAGTATTATCAGACAACAAAACGACCATATTGTTTCCAGAAGAGGAAAACGAATCTATACAATTAGATGTTAATAGCCATGTGTTTATTTTATTTTTCTTCAAATAAACGTTGGTATTCTATAGAAGAAATTGAAGTTATTTTCCATGTGTTTAGATATTTTTTCGAAAAAACCGTTTTGTTCAATAAGATTATTCGTCATCATTCGTTATTTAAAATAAGAAAAAAAGCATCGTGACTTGTGTTTAAGTATATAGAAGAAAGACAAGAGTCTTATATTGAAATAACGTCATTCTTTTTTTTCAAATTACTATTCTCGCCAGTATCGTTTGCTTATAATCACGTGTTTAATGTTTTCATCGAGTCTTTGATTTGTTTTTAGATGTTTAATAAAGAAGTTGAAGAATTTCGCTGAGAACTCTCGATTAAATCCACTAGTTGTAAATAATATTCAATAGATACATCCGTTTCATATAAAAACTTTATTTTTTCTATTAACTAGACATTACCGAATCAAACAAACCCATTTGAATTTACTAATGAAGTTTATACAAAAAACGGAGTAAGTTTTCTTCTTTTATATATATATACATCCTTATCCAATTTCTATTGCAATTTTAGGAAATTACTGGTATAAATCCTAATCAAATTAAATCTATATTAACACGTTCAACAATGCTAATGAGAGAATTAATGAAAAAAGGTGATCATATTGGAGATAAAATACAGTTGAGAAAATATGAAAATTTATTTAAAAGTCAGTATACAACTTTTAATTTTTCCACTACAGAGTCCATTACAACTTGTCGTTTTAGAATTTATACAAATGAAATATACGATTCTTAATGATAATGTAAACGTTGTGTGGGATGAGATTGCTGGTTCTCTTTCACGTCAGCATATCGATGGAGAAAGTAACAAAAAGAAAACAAATCCATGCAGAATTATCATCAATATCAACAACTCCATCATGATAACTTTAACACATATCAACGATCCCGACCGAACAAGGCATAATAATGCCAACGAGCACTATTGAAAAAGAAACAACAATAGCAATACCATCTGAACCAACTCAATCATGCAAATGAACACTACGACTCTTGTACACTCTAAATAAAACTGGTGCTTTACTAAACCCCCAAAAAAGTTTCGCCGTAATGAAAAAGTCTTCAAACATGTTGAAAGTTTAAAAAATACAATAAAAATTTCTACGAAAGCATTAAAAGATCTTCCCGTGTATCGGGGGAAAGAACCTTCTCCTACGAAATCATTTTTAAGTTCAGACGCCAAAAAAAGGTTTCGTGGAGAAATACGAAACTTTTAGGATTTCTTATAGAACTCCACAAGAACCTTAGGGTTTAGTACGAAACTTTTCTAGTATTCCGAACTTAAAAAAAGGTTTCGTAGGAGAAGGTTCTTTCCCCCGATACACGGGAAGATCCTTTAATGGTTTCGTAGAAATTTTTATTGTATTTTTCAAACTTTTAACATGTTTGGAGACTTTTTCACAACGGCGAAACCTTTTTTGGAGGTTCAGTAGAGCACCAATTTTTTTAGAGTGTATGATTTTGTATTTTTTGCTATGATTATATTAAGGAAACTAATTCTATTGAAGTAGGAATGATTTAATCTTTTATATAATTAGAGAAGAATTTTTTATTTATCGTTTTATTTTTTTCCTCTTTTCTTCATTTTTTCATATTGAATATTGTATCATATTTTATCTTGTTTCTATTAGTTATGTTTTTTTTAATGTCAATCTTGTTACTATTACACGATCAAAAACCAGATTATATCAATAAATCAAGGACTAATACAAATATTGTCGTATATGAATTGTACCAATAGAGTACTGGCTGGTAGTACCTGAACACTTAACGTTCATGATAAATACAGCATACGAGTACTAAAATATCATAAGTACTCATATTTCTCGTGACCTTTTCTAGCGTGAGTACTTTTTGAGTACTCCGGTATGAGTTCTTTCACTAAGCTAGTGATCAACAAAATTAATTCACTAGCAACGAACAAACAAAAAGCAAAATACTGATGTACTTTTATTATTGTTGCCATCTTTTTATTTCGTTCTTATCGATACAGTCAGTGACAAATGTGTTGGCAGAAGAAGAGTATGTAAATAAAAATGTTATGGTCATGGAAAGCTGAAGTTGTACATTTTTCTTTTCTTTGTTTCTTCACCTCTCTATTTCTATGCCAATAAGTGAAGAATTGAAATGAAGCAGAGGTTTACTCAATTATCAAAAGAATTTCAAGAAAATTAAGCCTCTTATTACATCTATTGATTAAAACTTTATATTTTCTGAGATGTTTATCTTTTATTATTTAGGAAACATACTTCAAACAAACAAGTGACTCAAAAGCTGTCATAAAATAACTTGCTGTAGAACTATCAATATCTTTTATGAATAGTAGGAATAAAGATGTCGAAGTGTTCTTATTGTGTTAATCGATATTGAAAACCATAATTCTAGAAAAGAATAATAAATATAATTAGAAAAATCTAAATAGAAAGATTCATTTATTAAGCATCGAAAAGAAATTATGAACAAATTAATTATGTCGAGGTGTCTTCAAATACATATGAACTTAGCTGAAATCAATGATGCCACTGCATCGATTGATTCTCTCTTTAGCCAACAAGTAACGCTCGTCTAAACACTAACTCCGCTCTTTCTTGTAGAAAACGTGTTCTACAATACTATTCGAGTTCCTCGATCTCGAAAACCCTTGGCTCAATTATTTTCTGATGACCGTCGATAGATTTTCATTGATTTATAAAATGCTGCAATTTGATCGGCTTGGACAAACAAACATTAACGATTTTTAACGTACCTATAACCCTTTCTTTCAGAAAAGGGAATTATGCATAGTTTCAAATAAATGCAATAAACAAAGTTATTTCTTTTTAAATTAATAAAATAATCAAGAGAAGAATCTATATATATATGTAGCATATTGCTTTTCGACAGACTTCTCAGCACCAAAGAAACATACTACTATGCAATGTTTTGTTGTAGAAACAAGAAGAATTTTGAGTCAGTAATTTATAGAGTCTAGTCCAAAACATTTGAAAAGATATCTCACTTTCTGCCAAATCTTAGAAGTTGTTGATATAATCTTGCGAACAGTTCATGTTTTGCACGTTTCTGCA